TTTAGCAAATAAGGGAATTCGGAGAAAATGGGGTAGTTATTCTCCATTTTTGTTGAGAAGTTCCAATGTTTGTAGCTCCCTAATGTCTGTGGTTTGAGGTTCCTGTGTGTTTGAAGATACCTTTCCTCCCATTAAAAATGTGTATTCTTGTTCCTCGATCTTTCCTTTGTGTGTGCTATACCTGCTTCGGTGTTAGAAATTTGAAGTGCCAGCACAAATGTTAAAAACCTTCTTGTATAAAAGTTCTTCATTTTCTATGAGAATTTGAGTGGGTAAAATGTTTGAAATATATGCTATGTATGTGTGTCTTTTATTGTATATTATAGATAATCTAATGTTTAGAGTTCGCCTTATACTCACTGATGGGGATAAGTTAATCTTAACTATGGGGAAGGTCCTAGTTGCCGCTACCTTTAGAAATGTAATAGTTGGCTAACCTATTGGCAAGAAAGGAGAGTTGGAGGAGTAATGAGCTCAGGTAATCAGCTTTCCCCAACTTAAATCCATAACCTTAAAAATTTGACAACTTGGCTTTCGAGGCCAATCTGCATAAATTGAAGATGGGACCTAAACCTTCCGCTCTTGTTGTCGTTCCTTTTAAAAGTAAATTCTCTATTTTTATATGTTTATATATGTGCTATATTCAGTTTTTCCTCTCATCGTATGAGATTTCTACTATAGCATGGCTCCCAGATTGATATAAAGTTGGATAGAGAGGTTCTCAAGAGTGTGAGAGCCAAGCAGAAGGAAGGATTCAACAGCCCTTCTTTGCCAATTTCAAAGAGGCTGAGGTCAATTGCAACAAGACCAAATGGATTGCATTCCCTTGCCACATATTTCCATACCTGTTAGTGCAATATTTCTATAGGTTCGAGCTCACACAAATAATAAACAAGTCAAGCCCAAATGGTTCGTGTATAGCTTAAGTTCGGCAGAGTCCAAGTCAAGCTAAAGTAGACTTTAAAAATTACAAGTTAAGCCTCTGCACATGAAAGTTTGTCCAAATTCTGCTCATAATTTCAATCATTAATTTTCTAAAAAAAAAATTGAGACTCGTAACTTTGAATTAGTCCTAAATGGAAAGATGTGATGTTAGAAGGCACGATAAAAAAATTATACATACTCAATAAATAATTGACACCTATTAACTTGTAAAAAAGAAATTTTTAGGAAAAACAACTTTTGTGTACACAAATTACTTCTATATAACTCAGTGAAAATGGTGTTAAACGATTGCAGCCTTTGGCGGCTGTGCTTCGTCCCCTTGTCTACTTCAGGAAAGAAATTCTTTCACTACTTAATATTAAAAGGGTACGAAAGGAATCAAATTCTCCATCTCCCTCTGTGGTTTTTAAGGATTCAATAGTACGTCAATCATTTGTCTCTATACGGTTGAGGAGCAAACTACGGTACCGAAATAGAATATTTTGATACCATATTGAAAAGATGTCAATAAAAGACAAATGAGTGGAAAGTTTATGACTATAGTGAACAAAATTATAATATTAGTGAAAAATTTATAATAGTATTGAACAAAATTACCACAATAGTAGAAAAAAATTACATCACCACTTGATAAAATTATCACTTGGTATTAATTTAATAAAATTGAATTTTAATAAGTAAAATTGAAGGTGGATTTGATGAAATTGAATTTTGACATGATAAAATTAATGGTCAATTTGGTGTTAATTTGATGAAATTAGGATCTACTTCTTTTGATGGAGCTTGAAGATCATAGTCCTGCACACTACCACTCAAACTAAAACCTCATCAAAAGGATCATATGTTAGAGAAATACATAACATAATCACAGGTATAGAAAATTCAAGTTAAGCATATGGCATAAGTATGTATACATCATGCAAGTGCAAATATATAAAATGTTAGAAACTAACTTGGCCAATATGCTTAAGAACTTATTGATTTATCACTATGAAACACATCAAGTTCTCCTCCTTAGTTGGAGTTCACAAGTAAAATAACAAGTGCAAAATAAACAGAGAAAAATGTGTGACTTCATACCAAATTTGTAAAATTTACTCCCCCTGTGTATTCAAACAAATTCCCTCTTTCTATGTTCACATGCAACATATTTACCCTAATCAAGAGTAAACCTCGCCGATTCTCCCAATGTATCTAAAATATTCTCCTAATTTTTTGTCACAAATGACAACCCAGTGACAATGATCTGACTTGATTTATGTCATACACTCAAGTATAAGTGGTTAAATTATAATATTTCTCAGTTAAGTCCGAGTTTGAACCCACAAGGAGGTAACTGTCAGGATTCAAAACAAAAATGAAAAAATGGTCGTGGATGAAATGTGCAGTGGAATAGCTTGTAGTGTGAGCTTAAAACTATCAAATAAATATTGAACTAAAACATGAAAAGATAATGATAAAAGGTACTATTCAGTTTGGAGATCCAACATGCATTATATTGTTTGTTTATGAAAATGTCACTTTATAACAATTAACTTCCAGTTTATTAGAAAGTTAACCAGTAGGCTTGATGTATATTGAACTATAACACATCAACTGATTAGGTTAGCTGGAAGGTCTTTGTACCATGCATCAATCAAATAATCATAATAAGCTTGAAGGTAAATCATTCAAAATGTTGACCCTAGTTATTTAATCGGCAAGTTGATAATTCAATGATGACAGAGTTCCGAATTATGTATTGAATCAAAAGCATTGGATATATCGAAATTTTTTTTTTTTTTATCTCTAAAATATTTGCATCTATCCTATGACCTTGTGATCTATGGCAAGGTTGTAGTAGTCTCTCCCAAATGTTTTTGAAAATCAATAAGTTTGTGATCGAATACAAATATATATGATCAACCACAAGTCGCCAGAGTGAAATTAAGTAAAATTGTTGGCAATTTACCATAATTAAGGGCAGATTTATCACCTTTGAGCATCAATTTACAAAAATTATGGATTAATTTACAAGTTTTGAGGTTAATTTATGATTATTCTAATTAATATTACGACTCAATGTGCATCTATTTGATCGATCAATTAATATTAATGATCGATCACAAACCACAAAATATAGTTCTGGTACCTCAAATGGTGGTAAAAGTTTGTCACTATGGTAGTAATTTTGTCTATTACTATAGTAAATTGTTCATTGATGTTGTAATTTTTTCCACTATTATTGTAAAATTTTCACTAATGTTATAATTTTTACCACTATTGTGGTAATTTTGTCCACTACCCTTGTAAAATTTTCATTAATGTTGTAAATTTTTCCGAAATGTTTTAATTTTGCCCTCAATGTGCAATTGCTTGATAGATCGGTCAATATTAGTAATCAATCACAAATCTACAAAATATACTTCTGGTACCTCAAATGGTGGTAAAAGCTTGTCACTATTGCAGTAATTTTGCCTATTATTATAGTAAATTGTCCATTAATATTGTAATTTTGTCTACTATTGTTATAAATTTTTCACTAATGTTATAATGTTTACCATTATTTTGATAATTTTGGCCATTACTCTCGTAAATTTTTTATTAATATTTTAATTTTGTTCACTATTATTATAAATTTATCCACTAATATTGTAAAAGCAATTTTTTGATATTTTGCCGAAATATTACATTTTGGTACCACAGACAACTCCAATGTTTGAAAGGTACTGTAGAGTAGGGGTGTTCACCTTTTTTACGGGTAGGAAATATGTTCTTTCGTCTTCCTACCCGATACTTTGCAGAATTTTTTCTTGACCTTTCCTACCCGACTTCCTACCCGATTAATTGGGTAGAAAGTCGGGTAAACATTTTTGTAACAATTAATTTTTAGAATATTTTAACAATTTAATTAAATAACATGCACCAATTTAACATCATAATAAATCAATTAACATTAAAATCTAAAACAACTACAACAAGAATTATAATAAAACACAAAAAAATATGGACATCAATCCACCATAATTGTTACACAAATATAATAACAATTAATTTAAGTTTAAATTTTAAACTATATGAAAAAATATTAAAATTATAATTGCTCCGCTAAGGTTTAGGATAGAGTAAAAATATAGAAATGGATGACAATTCTGCGTTCTTATCCAAAAATTATCAAAGAATCAAAAATTTTTCTATATTTCTATCATTGTTTTTGCAACTAAGCGTTTAATAAGGTAGAGTAGCATGGGATAAAATATGAACTTGCGGCTAGTCAAAAGGTTGAACGCCCCCTACTGTAGAGATATGGATACCCCCTGTCAAAGTTTTTCCCCTGTTGTTCAATCATCTTTCAAATATGGGCGGAAAGTGGACAAATTGGTTCAAAAGTGGATGCATTTGTAGGTACACCCTCTATGTGGCAGATGACACCACCACATGTTTTGGATTCACTTGCTTTTGTATTCACTTGCTTTTGTAGATAAAATGAAATATACCAAAATGGTTGGGTCTACATGATATGACTTAATTCTTGAGAATATTGTAATAAAGTTATGAGGACGATTCCTTAATTTATTCCTTATTTGGAATAAAAAATGAAAAAATTATTAATAATTATTATTTTTTCTCATAAACATCCATCAAATCTTATCATTTTTATTTTATATCAATGAAGTATTATTTTAATATTTTATTTCAATTAAGTTCTAATTCTATTATATTTCAATTTTGTACTTATTCTTTTATTACAAAAACTCTTTCATTCTTAGAACCAATTAATATAATATTACAGATTCTACGTCGATATTAAATTAAGCTAATTCTTACCAAAATCATATTCTATTAATTTATATTGAGTTTAAAGTGATTAAGTTAGGGATTTGTTTTAGTTATTGTGTTTATTCAAATTCACGTGGCATTGCTAAAAAAAATCACTGACTCTTATTTTTCCAAGCAAGACTGTTCATCTGCTTTAAACCCACTATACACAATTCGAATTCATCAGATTTTGTTTGTTCGAGCATGGCATAGTTTTCACTCCCCATCTAACAGGAAACCTGTAGATTGAAACAAAAATGAACCATAATTTTAGAAACTACCCTGTTTTTTCAAATGACACACACCATGAAGATGTGGCTCCGGAGGAGGAAGTTTCGGTGGCCTGTGACTACTTTGATGGGGTCTTCAAATACATAAATCAAATGCTCATGGAAGAGGATCACTTGGAGAATAAACCTTGCATGTTTCAAGACTGCTCTGCTCTCCAAGCTACTGAGAAATCCTTCCACGATGTCCTTGTTCAGAATTACCCTCCGCCGCCATATCAGAACTCTGCATTCCTTGATCAAAATGCTGACAACCTAAATAGTAATTTAACTGGGACTTGCAGTAGCCACGGTAGTAATAGCTCTACCGCTGTTAACACCTCTGTTGAGTCCAATTGGGTTCGTCATCAGCACCTGGTTGGACCATTTTTTGGACAATCTTCTCTTTTCGACCACCACTTCCAGTCTGATTTGCAGTATTGTGGTTCTTCAAGCAACTACTACAATGTTGTTGATGGGCTATTGCGCTCTCCTGTGACTCCAGTTCACGTTTTTGATTCAGCTAATGAGAGTCAATTCGCCTGGAAAAATCATCTTCCAGAAGAGCGAAGTAATAAACAGTTGGCTGATTATGCCGAAGAGTCCGACTCTGAGCAAACAGAGCTGTATGATAAGGTGTTGCTTTGTCCTTCTATTAATCCTGGTTTGCACGATGATCAGTCCGCACAAAAAGAAGCAAGGAACGAATCGGAGCCGAATGGTCAGGCACAAGGATCAAAGAGGGGAAAGGACCGATGGGGTTGTAGTAAGAAACAAGGCAACGCAAGAGAATTGGTGGATTTAAGGGGTCTCTTAACTCTGTGTGCACAAGCTGTAGCATGTTTTGATAGCAGGACTGCTAATGAATTGCTGAAGCGGATTAGGCAGCATTGTTCGTCTCACGGTGATGGTACTGAGAGGATGGCACACTATTTTTCGAACGCCCTGGAGGCCCGATTGGCCGGAACTGGGACAGAATTGTATGCAGCTTTTGCTGCTAGGAGAATATCAGCTGCTGAAATGTTGAAAGCTCATCGGGCCTATGTAACAGCTTGCCCATTCCAGAGGATGTCGAATATCTTTGCAAACAAATCAATTGCGAAACTAGCTATGGGAGTGACAAGGCTTCACATAGTTGATTTTGGTATTCTGTATGGCTTTCAATGGCCCTGCATTATGCAGGGCCTCTCTTTGAGACCGGGTGGGCCTCCAAAGCTTCGAATTACGGGTATAGATTTTCCTCAGACGGGCTTCCGGCCAGCAGAGAGGGTTGAGGAGACGGGACTTCGCCTAGCAAATTATTGCAAGAGATTTAACATTCCGTTTGAGTACAATGCCATAGCAAAGAAATGGGACACTATCCAACTTGATGATATCAGAATTGACAGAGATGAAATGCTTATTGTTAACTGTTTGTACCGGCTAAGAAATGTGCTTGATGAGACAGTATTGGCTAACAATCCAAGGGACGCTGTTCTAAACTTGGTCAGGAGGATGAATCCTGACATGTTTATGCATGGAGTTGCACATGGAAGTTACAATGGTCCCTATTTTGGTCCACGATTCCGAGAGGCACAACACCATTTCTCTGCACTGTTTGATATGTTTGACGCAAACATGGGACGCAAAGATGAGGATAGATTGATGTTTGAGAGAGAGGTTTTCGGGAGAGAAGCCATGAATGTGATAGCATGTGAGGTTAGTGAGAGGGTTGAGAGGCCGGAGACATACAAGCAGTGGCAAGCCCGGAATCGGAAGGCTGGGTTCAGGCAGCTTCCACTGGACCGGGACATCATGGAGGAGGTAAGGACTAAGGTAAAGCAGCATTACCACAAGGATTTTGTGGTAGGTGAGGACAGCAACTGGATGTTGCAGGGTTGGAAGGGGAGAGTTATGTATGCTCTCTCCAATTGGAAGCCTGTCTAAAATTGACAACCATGTTATTCTATTGCTGCCAAGGATATGTAAAATGTGGTTCTTTTCCCCCCAAAAAAAAAAGAAAAAGAAAAAAAACCAATGAACCAGAGCAATGATACTTTTATTTTCTTCACTTTGTTCATTTGGACTTGGTTTATCTTGATAACTGTGTTGATTATCTTGTACACCAAATGAAGTAAAGAGCTGATTTTTGGTGCACTGTAGGACTCCCTTAAGTTTCAAAGAGCTGATTTTTGGTACACTGTAGGACTCCCACAAGTTTTAACACCCATACTCTGTTAAAGGGTTAGGAGAGAAAAGTTGACAAATCATGATAAGTTAGTCCCTAGAGAAGATATGAAAAAGTATCTCAACTGCTGCATGGAGCTCATTACACTAGTTTGAGTAATAATCTCACCGTGTACGGCCATCAAAAGCTGGGGATTTCTCATATGGAAAACGTATGTTTTCCTCGATTGTGTCGAGTAATCTATATAATAAAGTAATTTATAATTTAAATTTAAAAAAATAAATAAAATAATTTTTGTTATTCGCGGTTAAGATCGCTTTAAATTTTACTTTAAAGATAATCTAACGGTTAATATTAACATCCTAAATTTAATAGGAAAAATAGGCCCTAAAAGTGTGTTTAGATGACTTTTTAAAAATTATTTCTCATAAATATTTTTAAAATCGCCCTCATCCAATACATCTACAACCACCTTCGCCACCGTCATCGTCACTGTCACCACCACCACCACCACCGCCACCACCATCGTCACTGCCACCACTACCACAAACCATCGTCGTCATCGCCACCACCCCCATCGTCGCCTCTACCACTACCTCCACCACTGTTGTCGCCACCACCAACACCCCCACCCCTACCCCCACCACCAGCACCCCCGTCGCCCCCCATCACCACCACCATCGCCGTCACCACCGCCATCAACACCCCTACCACCACCGCCACTGTCATGCCCACAACTACCACCACCACTATTTTCGTCGCTAACATCGTCATTGTCACCGCCACCACAGTCATTGCCACCCACCACAAGCATCACCGTCTCATATCTCCACCATTGTCGCCCATCACCTCTTACCCCTCATTACAAATCGATACTTGAATTCTTTTATCTTTACTTTATGTTTGTGATTTGATTTTGAATATAAATACAAATATATTTATTATTTATCATTTTTTATTATTTTGTGACTTTAAACAGAGATACTAACTAGTTCTCTTATATGTGTGGACTATTTTCAATAATATGTGTTATTGGGACTTAATTTAATAGCATGATTTGTTGATCTAATTCATTATAACTGTTGGATTGACTATAGACTCTATTAAACATTTAAATTTAGTATTAATCTAATTATTCTAATAAAATCACATTATATGTAAAAAAAATTTGTTGTGGTTTAATTCTCCATTTGTTAAACTATGTTTGTGTTGACTCATATAACCCATGAATAAAAAAATTTAATGCTCAATTTTATGTCTAAAATTTATTATCACTTAATCAAACATATGCTCATACTTTTTATATAAATTAAAAATTAACTTCAAATCGTATTTCTGGTTGTGTCAGAAATTATCACTCTTACTCTTCTCACAACAGATGACTCATTTACACGTGATAGAGCTAGCTAATAAAATTTGGGACTCACTGTGAAATCAATAACTGTAATTATCAAGTTAAGTTTTTAAGTACATGAAACATTACTATATGAAATCTGTTGTTTCTGTTAATTACGTGCATTACAGTACGAAAATAACCTTCACCTTGTGAGGCCTCTGATATCAATCACAGGTACGATATTAATCTTTTAGTTTGCCAAGAGTCAATAGTTTTTGTCATTCAATTTTTTGACTATGCCATTGAAGTTGAAACGTTTGGTGGGTTTTTGTTGTGCAGGGATGTTTGTTGAAAATAATTTATTGACTATGCCATTGCTACATTATCAATGACATGGACCTTAATACCTGGGGTTGCAATCAATCAAATTGGTCATGTTTCTATCGAAGGGGTAAGGGATTCGAGTGTCTACCCTTCACATTCTCCTTGCTCTATAAAAAAAAAAAAAGAGGGAATTACACCCAAAATCCATGACATTTAAAATATTATACAAAAACTCTCCGAAATATAAAATATTATACACAGATCCCCTAAAATTTGTACGTGCGTAACACTTAGACTCTTGTTATAAATATATATGTTAATAAATTATTTAAACCCCCTGAATTTTGTAGACATGTAATATTTAGACCACTTAAATTTAAAATATTACATTTAGACCAAAAATACTACAATCAAATATACAATAACAAATATTTTAAATTTTACAATTGTAATTAGTATACAATTATACTATTTATTTTTTCTTAAAAAATTGTAATTAATATACAATTATACTATTTATTGGAATGAAACTAAAAAATCAAACAAAATGGTCTAATTCATTTCATAATAGAGCATGAATTTTACAACCAAAATTTATGTTCTGTTATGTCATTTATTAAATTAAAATCAAAAATAAATATCTTGTCTTTTAAAAAAAATTATAGTTAGTATATAATTATACTATCTATTAAAATAAAATTAAAAAATGGATCAAACTATAATGGACACAACATCTTTTAGCTTTAATTCGGTTAGTTTGGTATTTTAATTTGGTTGTTTAAATGACAAAATTAAATTTCAATTGACAATATAATTGTATACTAATTACATTTTTTTAAGAAAAAGTAAAATTTTTATTTTTGATTTTATTTTAATAAATGGTACAATAGAATATGAATTTTAATGGTAAAATTTAAAATATTTTGATATTCTACCTTTGATTGAAATATTTTTTTCTAAATATAATATTTTAAATTTAAGGCCTCTAAGTAATATATATTTACAAACTTCAGGGGTCTGGGTGTTATGCACGCAAAGGTCTAAATATTATACACGCACAAACTTTAGGGTCTGTGTATAATATTTCAAATGTCAGAGATCGGAGTGATTAAGTTACAAACCTCAAAGGGTCTAAGGGTAATTCTCCCAAAAAAAAACATTCTTCATATACCCTAAAATACGACGAGACTCGAATTCGATACAAAATTAGCAAATTCTGAATTGACTATTTTTCAACATAAATTTGAAAATGATACGACCTGTTAACACAAATAATAAATCGATCGAATTAATGTCAAACAAAAATAATTTAAAATTAACTTGATTAACACGTTTAACTAGTATTTTTGAGAATAAAATACAATTTTTTTATTATTTTTTGTCAAATATAGGCATGAATCCTTGTAATATAATTTTTTTTTTTTTTACTTATTGTTACTAATTTTATGTACTTAGTGACTTTTTTAGTTCATGAAAAAACTATGAGTATAAACTTGATTGAAAAATAATATAATTTTTCTTAGATTTGGTATTCAAGGATTATAGGGATCAATCATAAAATAATATAATAATAAATAGGTCGGATTTGCACCAAAATATTAGTTGAATGGACTGGTTAAAGGAGACTAATGCTCTACCATAACTGATCTAACACGTCTTCAATATAACACGACACGGCACGAAATAAATTGTCAATCATATGTATGTAACTATTGGTTTTTTTTTTTACCGGGATGTAATTTTTGGTTATTTGTTTTTTGGAAATCAATTTTATCTATTTCTTACTGCCTATCTTCATATAGTTATTCTTCTCAAAAGATATAAATAGAGAAGTGAGAACGACTAGACATAGTAATTCTATTACGTCGAGTCGTGTTAAAATATATTAGTTCATGTTCATGTCAAATAATAGTTAGTCATCTAATTCATATAATTATATTTCTCAAAAGAAATAAATAGAGAAAATGAGAATGACTAAAAGTGATAATTGTGTTATGTCAAATCCCGTCAAAATTCAAAATGATTTGAATCCGTCTTGATCACTAATCAATTTTAAATTAACTAATTTGGTTAATCGGGTTAGATGTTCTAACATATAACTCTTATCTCTAAACTAACATTTGAACCTCCGACGTTAATAAGGTTGACAATTTTAATTACGGTGTTGTAATTGGGTTGATTCATATTACCTATAAATTAAAAAAAAAATAAAACTTAGAATCCATCCTCCCTCATCTAGGATGTCATGCCTATGACAAAGGAAACGACCACTGAAGGTGCAAGGAACTTGGGGTTTACGCTAATTCATTTCAAGCCGCGGCTCATGTTTGACCAACATGCTCCATGACGTCACTTTCATTTCAATCTAATCAGTCAACACTTGTGAAGATAAGTCTTATTATTTTTTTTAATAAACAAACACAAAAAAAAAAAAAATACATGTATATTTATTAATTAATTAAAAAAGGAAATTTAATATCAAAATAAGCGCTGCATTTCAAAGTTACACTAATACTGTGGTTGGTTGTGTTTCGAAAATTGAAAAAAAAAAAAGAGAGAGATTTTAGGAGAGAATAAAGCAATTAAGAAAAGAATAGGGATGGTAGCTCTTAAAAAAAATAAAAAATAAAAAATTTGGGGAATATTAGTAATGACAAGAATGGAAAACATCATTGGGTCATATTTGAATTTTTATCTATTAAAATTTATTCAGTCTATATCTAAAATATATATAAATTATGTATAACTATTTTATGAATATGTAAGACAAGATTAACTGTTTCATTCACTAATATAATACTCCATTCGTTCTTAAATATCTGTCGTTTTACATAAATTTTTTTCCATAATATCTGTCATTTTATAAAATTAAAGAATAATTAATATTTTTTCTTCTAAATTTATCTTTATTTCTGTTTTCCAATAAGTGTTTAATAAATTAAGTGTAAGTTAAGTGTCTTTCATATTCCTTTCCTTCCTAATATGTATTGAATAAGAGTATTTTAATCTTATGCAAATATTTTTTACTCATACTAAAATTATTTAATAACTTTCTTAATTCATGTGCAAAAATCTTAAATGACAGATATTTAGAAACGGAGAGAGTATATTCATTTATTTATCATTCAAACATGTAAAAACTAAATTTAAACTCGTCAATTCAGTGTTAATTTCGTGTTGAATTTGTAAATTATGTCTATTAACATTGTCTATGTTCCCGACTTGGGAGTTAGTACAGATGAGGAAATCCGAATTGGATAGATTTCAAAATTTTTTTATTTTCTTTGTTCTCCGAGGGTTTAATTAAAGTATCAAAGAGTTGTTTTTCAACATTGTGACTCTTATTTTTTATTAATCTATGGAGAAAAGTACAAATTTATTTTTTATTTAATTACTATTCGTATAGAACAAAAAGTTGTATTCTGATGGCAATACATTGAATTCAGGACTTACAGCTTTTGATATAAGTAGACCACCGACGATAGATTAAAAATGGAATAACGATAGATTAAAAATGGAATAATGTTACGGAAATTTAAAAATTTGATATAATTTATTGATATAATGATGTAATTTTATTGAAATCATTGAATTAATATCAAGTTCTAATATTTGATGGAACCCGCAGTCAATCTAAAGATCATAGTGAAACCACATTATTATGTCAATAAATTATAACAAATTTTTAGGTTCCAATAGCAGCACTCTTAAAAATGAAAGGCCAGTCACACCGGCTCCACTCGTTGAAACGGACGGGCTACAGCGGTTACCGGTGGGAGCTTCGGCGGCTGTAGTCCTCTCCCCACTGTGTACGTCTGTTTCCCGGAACTTTCGATTCCTATTATAGAATTAATAAAGTAATAGCTTTTTTCGTGCATTCTTAAAGAAGCACACAGCTTCGTTGCTCTACCAATTTCATCGAACTTTTCCACAGGCAGCACTCTTCTCTAAATTTTCTTCTTGGGTCTCTCCGAAGGTACTCTTATTTCGTCTTTAATTTTCTAATCAATTCTATAGTGTATCTGTTACCAGATTTTGTCCAATTCTTGCAATTCAACCCCCCCCCCCCCCCCCACCTCAAAGCTGTTCTATCTTTTGTCTCACTGAGTTTGGAGTTAGAACCCTATCATTTTGAAGCTCACTTTGTTCTTCTTTGTGAATTCATACACCCGTTTGGGAGATTTTAGGATTTCTTGTGTTGTTCCTGAAATTGACTGCTCCAATTAGTGATTATTTTTCACATACCATACCGCTATCCATGGACGCCCTTATCCAGGAGTATTCTGCTGTTATGAACAACTTCAAGTTCAATCGGCACTCAGTTCCAGCTCTTCCAAGACAAAACCATGTAAATGGATACAAAGTTGATCATGGGTCTGAGAATGTTTCTATTCCTTCAACAGAGACTCCCTCGGAAGGAAATGCTTCTGAGGAAGTGGACTATTCCGATGCATTCCTCAAGTTTATAACTCAAACCCTTATGGAAGAGGAGGACTTGGAGCATAAGCCATGCATGTTCCAGGACTCCTTGGCTCTCCAAGCTGCTGAGAAATCCTTCTATGATGTCCTTGGCGAGAAGTACCCTCCTCCACCCAATCAAGAGACTCCTTTTGGTGTCAATCAATATTCTGATGGCCCGGATTTCGCTGGGGATTGTAGCAGTCAAGCCAGTAGCAGTTCTATTGATGTAAACAACTTTGTTGAGTCCAATTGGATTCGTGATTCTGGAGAGTTTGAGTCCTCCCTTGTACAATCTTCTCACGTTAACTATGACTCTCGGTCCATTCTGCATCCGAATCCGCCGTCAATTGACTCTTCAAACAGCTTATTTTCTGCTGTAAATGAGTTTAAGGATTTGAATGTTGGTTCAGTTTTGGCTCTCGGTTCAACTAGTAAGAGCCGATTTGACTTCCAACCCACCATTGGAGAAGTGACCCACTTCCTCCCAAATGGTAGTTCCTTCAAGTATGATCCGGCACCGATGGAGAATACTTCAAAAGTTTTGGAGGCCGCAAAGGAGAATGGGAGGGACAATTCACCAAATGGATCAAAGGGAAAGAAAAAATCGTATCGAGAAGATAGTGATTATATAGAAGAACGTAGGAGTAATAAACAGTTGGCGAGTTATGCCTTGGAATTCGAGCAATCAGAGATGTATGACAAGGTGTTGCTTTGTCCACATGGTTTTATTCCCGGCTCGCAGATTGAGTCCAAGAAGCCTCCCTCTGATGAATCCCCACAAGATGGATCAAAGAACAAGTTGAAGCAGAATGAGGAGTCAAAAGGATCAAATCGAGGTAGGCCACGGGGTAAGAAACAAGGCATCCGTAAGGAAGTGGTGGATTTGAGGAGTCTCTTAACTCAATGTGCACAAGCTGTGGCAGGCACGGACCTCAGGACTGCTAATGAGTTGCTGATGCGTATTAGACAACATTCTTCTGCTCATGGTGATGGCACTGAAAGGTTGGCCCATTACTTTGCTATCGCCCTTGAGGCACGCTTGTCTGGCACCGGGACTGCACTGTATACATCTTTCACTTCCAGCAGGATATCGGCTGCTGATTTCTTAAAAGCTTACCAGGTGTATGTTTTGGCGTGCCCATTCAGGAAGATGTCTAATATATTTGCAAACAAATCGATTAAGAAACTAGCTAATGAAGCAACAAGGCTTCACATAATTGATTTTGGAATTCTATATGGCTTTCAGTGGCCTTGCCTTATCCAGGGTCTCGCTGGGAGGCCTGGTGGTCCTCCAATGCTCCGTATCACGGGAATAGATCTTCCCCAATCAGGTTTCCGACCAGCAGAGAGGGTTGAGGAGACAGGGCGTCGCCTAAAAAATTACTGCCAGAGATTCAATGTCCCATTTGAGTACAAAGCCATAGCAAAGAAATGGGATACAATTCAACTTGAGGATCTCGGGATTGACAGAGATGAGTTGCTTATTGTTAACTGTTTATACCGGCTAGGAAATGTGCCTGATGAGACAGTAGCAGCTAACAGTCCAAGGGACGCTGTTCTGAACTTGATCAATAGGATTAATCCTGATATGTTCATCCATGGAATAGTTAATGGGACTTACAACACCCCTTTCTTTGCCACACGATTCCGAGAGGCACTCTTCCACTACTCTGCCATGTTTGATATGTTTGAAGCTACTGTATTGCGTGAAGATCAGGATAGAATGCGGTTTGAAAAAGAAGTATATGGTAGGGATGCCGTGAACATCATAGCTTGCGAGGGTACTCAGAGGGTCGAAAGACCCGAGACATACAAACAGTGGCAAGTTAGGAACCGGAGGGCAGGGTACAGGCAACTCCCACTTGACCAGGAGATCGTGAAGTTTGTAAGGAACAAGGTGAAGTCAGATTACAACAAGGATTTTGTAGTGGATGAAGATGGAAACTGGATGCTGCAAGGGTGGCGGGGCCGGGTCCTTTATGCTCTCTCTTATTGGAAGCCTTTACAGAAGTAATTACAATGGAATGCTTATTACAGCTTAGAATTGGTAAATCATGATTCACTCCTGTGAATTGTATTTCTACTTTTTTGCATGTTTATTGTAAAATTTAATTACCTTGTTTCTGATAATATATATGGGTTTTCTTGCACAAATATCAAATGGGAAGTTGATTTTTGGTGGTTGCTTTTTTTGGTATCATATGGGAAAGATTAATACTACAATTCTGTCCCATTGTCACCAGCTAGACAGACTTGATACAGAAAGCGCTTAATATATATCACTGCTGTCTTAGCTTCAAGCAAGAGACTAATAAGAGTGAAGAATTTCCTTGTTCATTCAGAGAACTAGCCATCTTTGTTTGGCCAAGTAGGAATGGCAATGGACCGAGGAAAGCGGAGATTTGTCCAAACCGTCTCGTTTGGACTGAAGATGGACAATTTGTTTTAAACGGTGAATGTATACAGGAATACCCATATAAACCCGTTCGGGAATGAATAAATGCTTAGTTTCATTCGGCTGTAATATCTCTAATGGCAAATCTATGTGTTGATCAAATAATATAAATATTTTTTTCATTAAACTTTGTTTGATTAGGTGCAATTTGTGATTAATTATCAACTCATAGGTGCATTTTGAATATGTTGAATTATGTTGAGGTTGGGCAGGGGTGGAGATTAAAATTTACCCGCAGACAAAAATGACGTTAAAAACTAACTCCGCTAACAAAGGTGGAACAAAAATGGAGATTAAAATTTACCCGCAGACAAAAATGACGTTAAAAACTAACTCCGCTAACAAAGGTGGAACAAAAATGAACAGAATTTTTTAAATGGATACGAGAGTTTAGACTACTCCCCCGCCCCTGTCCCCGTCCCGATCCACTGTCATCCCTAGGCCCAAGCTATAACAAGGATAAGAGTTTTCAACGTAAAAAGGGATGCCACCATTCGCTGCCTGCACTGGTGGAGTGCAGCAAACTGGACAGTGGCTGGGGACGACCCTTTCACAGAACCCGTTTCAATTCTCCTCTAAATATGATGTTTCAGTTTCTGTTCAGCGGGCAACATAAGAAATGCAAAAGCATCTTCCATTTGAAAGATCAAAATTCAGTCTGATCAGAAAATCATATTTTCCCATATTTGATAACCAAAATTTACCTCCATTGCAAGGCTTACACATAACTTCAATGAAGACACCTCCCAAGACCAAAATATTTTCACACATAAACAAAAAATTATCTGTCAAATCAAATGATAAACAAAACCATTCACAACAGATCCAGGCATCCAGCTTTCGCCAATTTAGGATCAAACAATATCAGTGATTGAGACCAAGCAAACATTGCACCAACAACGTATCCAAAAGAATGCAAGCCAGTACGTGCATGCCTGCATATCTTACACACAGACTAAGTGATGGATTATATATGTGGATTGCTACTGATAGCATCCCACGTTGATGGTCTTGGGGGGGTTGTTAAGTTAAAGAGCGATGATGATCAGTAAAAGCACAGGATTCATAAAAGAGAATAGATTTTTACCCTGGTTTTACCAACACCACAATTCCAGGAATGGAACGGAAGGAACAAGGGAAAAAAACAACTACCTCTTCAAATGAAAGTGACAGATTCAACAAGGCCAACAAAGAAAACCAATTGAGTGCTCAAGATATTCTCGCATGATTAGTGTTACAGATGTACTTAGAGCATCGAAGCATGTAAAAAATAATTCTCGTAACACTCGAAGGAATCACCTGATACTACCTGATTCTCCTCACTTGTTTTTGTTTTGACCCTTTGGAGGTCTAAGAACACTCCAGTCCAACTTTTCCCGCTTTGGTTGCTTGTGAGAACTTCTATTGCTATTCGGAGATGACCCTTGATTGCCTTGAATATTTTTCTGTGATTTATTTGGATATTGTGCTTCAGAGACGACTTCTGCTTGTTTCCTTTTAAGATCGTCATTTGCATCACATTCGAAACCATCCACTTTCAAGGTCTCTGATCCATCTTGTGTGGAACTATTTCTGTTGTAACAATGAATGAATCAGAAGATCTGTAGCTTAAATTTGGATAACTCACAGAACTCCTGTTCATATGAGTTCATTGTCACAACTCTGTTTCTACATTTTTAGCATCCATGTTACATAGTAGCATCCACAACCACCTTAATTTTCTTTGAATAGTTCAATTTAAATGAATACTTGTTTCTCAACCTACTATGCATATAACCTCACATGGATTTCCAAGAGCCCCCAAAAATAATGTTATGTGAACTGGATTTTTTCTGGTTGCAATGCAGCTCATTAATGGACAAAAATACGTATACTACGTGCACATCTCTATAAGGGGATACCGGTGACTGCTACCACCAGCAAGATGGGTTGGGAAAAATCAGGGCAAACCCATAACATTTCAGACTGACTTAGCAATCCAAAAACAACTTAATACCAACACTATGATCAATAAGGCCAGTGGTGGAACTGTTTTGACCTGGGGACCATATCAAAAATTGCACTTTCCACCATTGAGTTCCATGTAATTTTTTATTTTGACCCAAGGAAATATTTAACATTTTGCATGAATATTTTTCACATGGCCACCCCACTTTGAAGTTTCAGAATTCGCCCCCTGCGTGAGGCTACTTTCAAGTTTCGCTACATAAGTCATGCTTTTTGCCTTTTTATATATTGTCATGTTGTCTGCCAAACCCAAGCAAAGGATTGAGGGAATCCTAAATAGGTTTTACTCAGCGACCCAAAACTCACAGCATGTTGCAGTATTTTGCTTATTCTATTTTCAAATTTTCATTTTTTTCTACATACACAAAAATATCAAGATTAAGCAGTAGTAGTCCATCCTTGTAGATTTCTAGTAATCATGTGGATAGACCGAAACAGTAAATAGTTAAGTGAATTTGAAAGGTCTAGTTACCAACCTATCAGAAATTGTATCACTGTGGGCGCCAGAACATGTGGCAGAGGCTTCTGTTTGACCAAGATTTGACCCTTCATTCAATTTCTACCAAGACAAGGCTTTGACATGAGGAGACCAAAAGCTACAAGAAGACAGGAAGTGAATAGCCTTTGAAATAAATTTTCAGGTCATTCAACCCTTATACTCACATCAATAGAAGGATTAAAACTTTGAAATGACATCCGGCCTTTTATTGCCCCAGGATGGGGATCACCTTCCATAATGACTACACTGCAATTGAAAAGACATCGACATGTAAAATGAGAAAAATTTTAACACAAAATTTATTAAAGGAGAATGTAAGATTGGTGTCAGGCTACGCAGCAGCCAAATCACGAACCCGACTTTACAAACATACCCATGCAACACTATATTCTTGCTTATGATCATCTTGAAACATCTAATTCCAATTAGTAATGGGTGGAGAAACTCACAAGGCTTACACACGAAGGAGGATTCACTTTCATTGAGGAAAATGCTACCACCACAACCCCCCTCCCCCCCTTCTTTTCTCTTCCACTGCACAGGCCCAACCACACCGACAGAGAATAAAAAAGTCCCAATGGTGCAAGCAAGTGGAGAGGTGTACGAGTAGAACACAAAAAGAAAACACAATGAGAAGACACAAACAAGTGTGTACATATGAACAAGGAAGACCAGAACAAAGTTCATCAAGTGCAACAAGAGGGACCAAATTCACCCAGGAAGACATTAGCAGATAAACACCTAAAACTCCTCTAATATTATGCTAACGGTACCAACTTAAAACTAATTGGTAATTTGTGCAAAGACTTGAAGAATCAGAATAATTCGCGAGGGTTGCCCGACCATAAATTGGATCAATACCATACAACAGCAAGATCCAGGCAAAATGTTTTACCCTGAGATATAGTAGAATGTCTACCTTCTTTGGCCAAAAAGACTTGCATAAAGAACATGTCTCTGCGTTCGATATAAAGTGACAGGAACACGAACACCAGGTGGGGTGTGGGGGCGTGTATGTGTGTGTGTGTTTTGGGCAGGGGGGGATCGTAATTGCACGGTAAACTGAAACTAGAGCATCAAAGTAATTCAAAGTCCACCTGAATATGAAGACAAGATACAAATTTTGGAAAAATACCATCTTTTTGTGGTACTAGACGATGGACAGTTCTCCTCAGGTATGACCTCTTCTTCCTTCCTAGATTTGTCTTCTCTCTGAACTGCCCTTTGCATGAACTGAAACAAAGAATAGCAATAACCCCCAAAACCAGCTCAGCTGTGGATTTTCAATAATAAAATTCAAGATACTACGGAATACCCAAATAATCTTTAGCTATCAGATCTTTAGAAATAAAATTAGCATACAAAAGTTATGAGCACAGTTAAAGAAGGGTTGTCCTCATTGTTTCACCTTCAAGTTCCTCAGAGTGTTGGATAGCTCGCGCTTAGCCATTGCAAACTGTGGAAATCCCGCTCAAGATCACGATAAAACTGAAAGGAAGAATCTCTACCGGCCCACTTCCTCCTCTCTCGCTCTCTCTCTCACACACACACACACACACTGCGAGAGAAGCAGCTTTCACCGTTCCGAGGAATATCACCCGCCAGGAGAAGAGAGAGAGGGTGAGCCGATCAGGGTTTTTGAGGAGCAAACTCCGTTTCAACTCAAAATGACCAAAGTGTCCCTGAATAGTGGTTCCCTACGACCTAAATGCCCTCGTTTAAGTTGTATATATCAAAATGTCCAAACACAACATTTTATAGTTCATTCTTGGGTAAATTATATTCGCACCCCTTGACATTTGACCAAATGATACAGAGACCCCTGAAATTTCTAAAATTACATGAAAACCCCTAGAGATTTAAAAATCATGACACAAGTACCCTTTTCGTCTTCCATCTGTTAGTCTAACTAACAGAAAATAGTGACATTAGGGAGCAAAATTTACCTAATTCTGAAATTACCCCTCTATAACATGCCCAATATTTCTAAGAAAATCTTGTACACTGATTATCATAATTTATAACTTTAACAACATTAATTACATAATTATAAAAATTAATCAAAGAATAACATTAAACCATTACAATATAATTAAAATTAATCAAAAATTAACATTAATTAAGATAATTAGTTCCACCATCACCACACAATTTTGGTGTGAGATGTGAATGATGAGTGATATGTGAGAAGAGAGAGTTTTTTTGACTTATTAATTTAATTTTTTGATAATATATTTAATTTATTTTAAATTAAATTAAAGGGTTAAAATAGTCATTTTACCACTTCTATTAACACAGAAAAAAAACCGACAAGGGGTTTTCATGTAAGTTTAGAAACATCAGGGAGTCTCTGTGTCATTTGATCAAATGTCAGGGGGTGTGACTGGAACCCTTCTGACCTTGGAACTCGATGCTGCTGAATTAAAAAAAAAAAAGGGAAATTTTCACATTCACCCCTGAGATTTAATTTTATTATACGATCACCCTTTTTATATTTGGAAAAAATAAAACTATATTTATTGATGCCAAAGACTCTATCGAGTTTCTGATCAAACCCTACTTTGTGTGGTATTTATCTTATAGTTTTTGTTTGTTATATATACGTTTATACTCAGAATCATATTGTTCTGGCAATCATATGTTTTTTTGTTGGCTTGAACTTGATTGGTTTACTTGGCATACATGCAATGTGTTAAGTTAAAAAAAAAATAAAAAGAGGTCCTAATTGCGACAATCTCTCTCTCATTCGCGGGTAAGTTATACCCATCGACTCTAGATCGAGACAATTAATACAAAAGTCAGACCATTATCCAAATATCTAACATTACTAATTAAATGAATCAAATTAGAAATAATTAATACTCGACATCAACATACACTAACGGGCCACAACATTCGTCAAAAATGCACCAATATAGCCATCTGATAATTTGCTTGTAAGAGTTTTTTTTTTTCCCTCTCTCTCTAGACAACTTTTGAAGAAAGAATTAAACTCTATGTAAGAAAGACAATTGTATGACCGACTATTGTACAGTCCATTGTCCGGCAAAAAAGGAAAAATAGAGGGGAAATATTTAAATTTATTACAGAATCAGCAACAATGTCTGCAAAATTAAGTGGGAACCACTTCCGGATGAAGGGTTGATGAGTCATCATCTTCTGCAGGCTGTCCCTCCACAATTTGGCCACTCTTCTCATCTTCCCCTAGAAACCCTTGCTTAAATCTATCATAATTTGTTACCTCACTTGATTTGAAGGGCCTCTCACCCAAAACTTGGACCAAGTCTTCCTGGTGAAGAACTTCCTTCTCCAGCAACAGCTCAGCAATCTGAGCTACTTGCTCTTTGTGTTCTTCTACCAGTTGGACCGTGTGATCATATGCCTTGGCTACCCATTCTCGTACTTCGCTGTCAATAATTGCCCCCGTCTTACTGCTGTAGGGCTTGCTCATCTCATATTCATCCCTTTGAGGGAAAGAGAGAAGACCCACTTTCTCACTGAAGCCATAGACTGCTACCTGGGCATATGTCATTTTTGTCACTTTCTCCAAATCATTTTGGGCTCCTGTTGAAATTTTTCCCAGTATAACCTGAAGCCAAAGAAAATCCAAGCGTTATGATAAGTGCATGGTTGAGAAAGTGGTGGGCTTTCCATTTTTTATGGGTTCAATGTCTATGTCCAGGCAATAGTGATTTCCGACTTTCATTTTTCCTGATAAATAATGTACACACGTCCATGTCCCATCCCAGACATCAAAGCCTGGACCTCCCCCCCTGCAGGGGTGGCATGAGAATTTTTTCCCCATACGTTATGTTAAATGCATGGATAATGAGCCGTAGGAAGTTCATAGCAAACATTAATACTAAACTTGTAGCAACTCACAAGGCTGAAGTAGAAAAGTGTCACAAGTTGCTGCTTCAGATATTTGTACCAGTTACCCCATTAAAGCGAAAATAGTAGTAAAAACATTCCAGCTACCTGTTCAGCAGCCCGACCACCAAGAGTCATGCATGTCATATCAAAAAGCTGCTCCTTGGTCATGAGAAGGTTCTCATTAGGTACATATTGGGCAAATCCAAGTGCTGCAGTACCGCGAGGAACAATTGTCACCTTCAACAAGGGTTCAGCATGTTCCAAAAACCAGCCAACAACAGCATGACCTGATTCGTGGTAAGCTACAGTGCGGCGTTCAATTTTGCTGATTACCTGCTTAACAAAAATGATAGTAAGTTGAGAGAATTTGGAAAACTGAAAGCAAATGAAGGAAACCAAGAGAAGACCAGAGTCACAAAACAACGGTAAAATTTTTCATCTTTATGTATACATCTATATATGTATGTGTTTATATATCGTAACACATAAAATTTCCTGTAATCAAACTTCAGAGCAACCTACCATCAGAAGGAGGGTGAGATGAAGAATAGTTCCTACTCCCACGTCGTTGTAACAGAGGAAAACAATGAACAATAGATGTATTAAAATCTTGTGTTACCTCTTTATTTGTGATGCACATCATTGAGTACAACTTGCACAATGATCAGAATAGATGCACATGCACTGGTGGGAAAACTTTGTTCCATATTTCTAACCAGGATTATCACCCCTCCCACGTGGTGGCAACCAAAAAAGAAAATGGAAAGAGCCACAAAAAGGGAAAGAAGAAGGACAAAAGTGCACCAACTAATTTATATTTACTAATTTTTGCGGCATGCATCTCTAGAGTCATAATTTCCTGTATCTGTAGTAAATCTCCAGAACAGTGCAATTAAACTCATCAAGCCTATAACAGCAATCTCAAAAGATACTTCATCAGTAAATTATTCAGCCAACAATATCCTGTGTAAAATATTCATGCTCAGTAGCTGTGCATGAAATATTTTCAGGTAAGACTTCTGATCTCACGTCTGTAATTGTATGCAACTACATCCGTGTTTTCTTTTTTGGCTAGAGGGGTGACAAGTATCTCATATTTAAAATTACAGACAGGAAGTCAGGAACCCAACCCCTGTCAAATGTACTTTGACATACCCAGTGTGCTATTGCAAAATTCTCAAAGCACAATAAATCCAATCAGAAACTGTTCTCTGATTATGATGCTCTATTAGATTATCTGTTGATTATCGACACTAAGTGCTATTACCAACATGGGTAAATCACCTCATGCAGACCTAGAAAATATAATCGTAAGTACAATCCCATATGGAAATTTGTTATGCTTATACCAAAAAAGGCAGTCTAGGTGCACAAAGCTCCCCACCATTGCAGGGTCTAGGAAGGATCAGATGTATGCAGTCTTACCCTTGCATGGAGAGAGGCTGTCACTGCGACTCAAACTCTTTAAAACAAAGTCACAATGGAACAACCTTATCGCTGCGCCAAGACCCACCCTCTTAAATTGCTATGCTTATAGTTTTCCTTGCAAATACCACAATGCTCACTATTCAAGGAATATTCCACATAAACAAACCATTCAATCTCAGAAGACAGTCCTGTTCACAAGCACCCAAACTTCACTCAGCGTCCAATTAGTTTCTCTGTCATGCTAGTCCATTATTTTTCAGGAATATTACAACCAACCAAACCTAACCCAGCAAGCTAACTTCATCAAAGCCAACCATGCATATTAAAAAATTGGAAATAAACACAGGCTACAACCATTTCAAAAGCCTATGTCCTAATCTTCCCAGGATCTTAATTTGCTATTCCAATTAGGAGTCTTACCTAGTGAATTCTTATCTCAGTAATGCTAATTCTTCAGAAACCTTCACGCCAATGTCTAAGCAGCAAATGCATAAGTACTAACTACTAAAGGCCGAGTATAATATGCTTCAGGCACTTCATTTGGCAGGATGTACCATACATAAAATCTAAGGAGAAAATATTAAAGGTTCATTTATTTGCAAACATGCTCCTACGATGTCAATTCCTTCCTGAGGTGAAGTTTGCTTCATAAGCCAAAAGTGATGATGAAACTCTTCACGAGCACGTAGAATTTCTTCACTTACAATTAGGAAGCAATGCAACTGGAATCTAATCCGTAAGGTAAAAAAGAGATGAAAATGCATTAATTTCAGGTCAGAAGCTCCTAAAGGCAGCGCTTTGTTGCCATTAACCGTGATGTTTGGTGTTACCATTGGTGATTTAAGGTTTCGATTCTGGGTTTGGTTTGGAGTGATGGCAGTTAAGCTTCTCAATTGACATTAACGATTGACCATATAAGTTTTTTTTATTCCATAGGGTTCATCAGTTTCTGGGACCCTAACTTGAATTTGATTAAGCTTCTAAATTGGTTCCACTGCACAGTAGCAATGTTAATTTAGGATTCCTTCACTACCAATAATGATAATACGATTACTATCAGTGTAGTTGTTACCATATAGAGATGGCTGATACAACATGTAAGAAGAAGTCATTCAGAAACATGAGTTACCTTGTTCTTCTTCTCTAGACCACCAATTATCCTATCTATGGCTGCATCAAAATGGTCCATTGTCACCTGTGTTTCCTCACGCCTTGCTGCAATTAATGCAGCTTCATTACATACATTTGCAATATCTGCCCCTGCAAATCCAGGAGTAAGGGCTGCAAGTCTCTCAGAGAAATATGAAGGTTCATGATCAAGTTTGATCTTCTTCAAATAGATCTGAAATATCTGCTCTCGGCCTTTGATGTCAGGTTTATCTATGGTAATTTGTCGATCAAATCGACCAGGCCTTAAAAGAGCATTGTCTAAAATATCAGGTCTATTAGTGCCAGCAAGAACAACAACTCCAGATGTGGTCCCAAACCCATCCATTTCAACAAGCAACTGGTTCAAAGTACTTTCACGCTCATCATTGCCACCTGAGAAGCCCCCACGTCCCCTTGCTCGACCTATTGCATCGATCTCATCAATAAATATTATACTAGGTGCACACTGTCTTGCCTCCTGAAACAAGTTCCTCACCCTGGAAGGCCCAACACCAACAAACATCTCAATAAAATCCGAACCTGATATCGATAGGAAAGGCACACCAGATTCCCCTGCAGTTGCTTTGGCTAAAAGAGTTTTACCCGTGCCTGGAGAGCCAACCAATAGAGCACCTTTTGGAATTTTTGCCCCCAGCTCCTCATATTTCTTTGGGTTCTTGAGGAAATGCACGAACTCCATGATTTCCTGCTTTGCTTCATCACAACCAGCTACATCTTTGAAATAGATCTGAACAATCAGACAAGCAAATACAAAATTAAAAAAATGGAAAAGAGAGAAGAAATACAAAAAATTAGTAAAGAAGAAATACTAAAATGTGTAACGTAGTAGCAGCAAATAAGGTCAAGCCCCAATATTGTTAAATCAAACTGAAGGCCATACACCCTAAACATAAGGGGAATGCTAACCTTGTTTTTCGCATTCTTATCCACTTTTGTAATTTGAGCTTTTCCTATGTTAAATATCCCACGGGCACCCTTTCCAGCACCACCTCCAACACCAAATCCACCTTGCATTCTCCTTCCCATGTACATCAGGGATCCCAAAATCAGTAGTGTCGGCGCAAATCTCATTAATTCTTGGAACCACATCATTTCAGAAACATAAGTAACAGGAATGTAGTCATGAGGGTCTATCCCTAATGTTTCCTGGGCTTCCTCCAACTTCTCCTCAAAAGATTCAACACTTCCAATGTTGAAATAGTACTTATACTCACTTGTCTTCCCTCTTACAGGAGTACTATTAACAGGTCCTAGGACCTCTGGTCCGTCAACAGCATCATTGCTGGTTTGATTGCGCGGTGAGCTTCTCACATATACTTTGGCAACTGATTTATTAGAAACAACAAGATGGTCTACTAGACCTAGTTCCAGAAGCTTATTTTTGAACTCTTGGAAACTGATCTGCAAAGAATCACATTCCAAATGTAAAGATCAAATATAAAAATAAAGATTAAGCCATAAGAAAACCTTGATTGCTGTTCAAAATAATACAAACAAAAGTTACAATATAATGATCAAGGATATAAACCATGTCATTGCCAAAACTAAACTTCACCACCTCACTGCCTAACATACACACTAGTGTCCTATATGTGTATAATCAGTTTGATGTGGGAAGCAGAACCACACCATCACCAATGTCACTTCACCATTAAGGTAGTGAGTAACTACAAGTTTCAAAGCCCCATACAAGTAAGAATACCAAGTACTGAGACATTTTCAAGCATATACCTACCTGTTGTTGTTCATGAGGACCAAATGGAAATGAATAGAGAAACAACCCAATCACTAATAAAGGGGTGATTAGATGTTGAAAACGCTTTAAAAATGATTCTTGAAAATTTCCATGATCATCTGTGTTTGTATCCTCTGAAAAAATAGGAATAAAAATGGGTCAGAAATGTTGGATTTCGCAGATTTATTCTGGTGGATTAAGTTCTCACTGCACGATTCTTCTTCTTTGAATGCTCTGAATCACTTTTTTCTTTGTCTTATATTAAAAACTGAGAAGTGAAAAAACTAGCCTTTGGACTCCGATTTCTGCTCATTTCCTTTTGGAATTTCCTTCTTTTCTTTTGGGGTAAAATTCTCATAATCTGCAAATTAGAGTTGGAAATGCTAAAGAAAATAACGACAAGCTTGAAATACAATTCAAATGCATAAAGAAAACATAACTTCATCGGAACTCTTACTCTTCTTCTTAGGAGCTTCGCTGGAGAAAAATCTACGTATTCTAGGGTTTGCAAGAACATAATTTAAATCGGATATATACCCCTTCGGAATGAACTCCTTGTTAACTCCTACTGAAGCCAAATACCCCCTCAAAAACCCTAATTTGCCATCGAATCGACTCAGATACGTGTTCACTTGACGATCTCGAAGAAACGCTTCATTCATACAAATCGACCACCCATCATTAACTCCATATATGGCATTCTGCCAAATTAAAAACAGGTAAACAGATTCCGATTCATAACAATACAAGCATAAAAGGTATTGTGATTGTGTAAACAGATAACAGAGAGGGAGAAGAATTTACTCTGGCACGAGATGACCGTGACAAGGAACGGCCAATCCTCGAAAAAATCATGCTCCAATCGATTAGAATCGAAAATGGGTAACCTCAAAAACCAATTACTCCCTCAATAAACCAGACAAACACAGATTAACAATATAGATAACGTAATTTCTAATGGGCTACAAATTAATATATATACATATATATATGAAGTTGAACTGAAGCTGGAGATTCTAAGGTGCGGACACAACGAGTTTGACGAGTGCTAGGGAGGCCTAGATATTTGATGTTCTCTTCAAATCAATTACTCTTGATTTTCGGTGGGCGGTCAAATGAGAGAGAGAGAGAGAGAAGAGAGAGAATATAAAGATGTTTCTTTAAGATAAACTTGGGAAACAAGACACGGGTTTGGTCATGGGTTAGCACATGGAATTAGTGGCTTCTTAAAGCTAGGTTGGATGTGGGGTTCAGATTTCTGTGTAAAAATTAGGACAGTTTCTCATGGTAAGATAGGAAGAGAGACTCGATTGTGCTCTCCTACGTAGGCAGTAGTTGTTTTAGTTTGCGATGTTTCCTTATTCAGTTTGTAGGTTTAGTTTTACGCCAAACATTAAATTATGTTCATAATTGCGAATAGTTTAGTGTAAGAGTATCTCTAATAGGCTCTATTTATAGAGAGTCAATTCTTAGATTTTTTTTTAATTGACCCTTTATTTAGATTTTTTAAAAATTGTCTAATTTGACTCGGTATATTTAAAGAGTCAACTCAGGGTGTGTTTGATAATCTAATTTAAAATATTAAAACTAAACACTTTCAATATTTAATAAATTAATCTCTTTTGATAACTCAATATTACAACTCCTTAATAAAATAAATGTCACCTAAATGTAAGCCAAAATTTTAAGTAACTCTATACCTACTTAATGCTAAAGGTTGAAGATGTTTAGAGTATCTTTCGTAAAAAATTATAATAGAGTGTAAATTTCTGCACACAACTTCAATAGGACTCCACCATCCGTGTGATTTGGATGAGCATTGAGATTTGCATGCGAAAGAGGACAATTTTATTTTTACTATTTAATTTATGATATTTTTCCCTCAATAAAAATTATTTACTACAACAGAATTGCCCCAAATTTGTCAATTTTGAGTTTTCTTTTTTTCAATTTGCATCTCTTGTTGCATAAATATGCGCATTAATAATTTGATGAAATGCATCATATAAAACAACAATTTTGAAGATTCTATGCCAAACAACTAAACCGTACTTCCCAAATAAGATGTTTTGCAGAGAAAATACCTGAATAATAAAGTTCAATACCATAAGGAAATCAACATAGAGGGAGCGTGGAAGCACAAAACAGTGCTTTCTAAAGCAGAGCACTATGCTGCTTTCCTTTATTTGAAACATGGTGATGATGACCATTCAATATATTTATTTCATCTTTTAAGACTTTAACCTTAAAACTGGAAACACTCGTCATCTTGAAGTAGAGACAACAACAGTTGCTCATGCCAGATTCGAGGGATATCATGTTTTACATCATCAGAAAGTGAAGGTTTAAAGGTTTTGAGAGAGAGAGTCAAGTAGCCATTTCTACCATTCAAATAGCCATCTTCCTCATAGGTGACATCATCTTTGATTGTACAAACATCAATCATCCTAAGCAAAAAAGAATGCACTGCACAGACTCCATTTTTTTTCTTCCTGAAGTTAATTTTAGCACCAAGCTTTTCATTAAATTTGTGTCTCACAAAATTGATTGTGCATGTGAATTATTTTGAGTTGGAAAAGTTACAAGACATGTTCATATTCTTTGTTTCTAAGCTATTGAGACATAAGTCTGGGCTTTTTTTCTTATTTTATTTATTTTTTGTTTTTTGATAGTGAGTCCAGAATTTACAGTTCATGCATGTTAAAATAAAGATAATTACATATTTTAAAAACTCAATCAGAGCAGTATCCTTTAATGGTTAAGCATCGGGTAAGCTTTATCTCAAGGAGTTCTCTTTTAGAAGATAAGTAGCCATCTGATAGAATTATAAGCTCACAATCTAAGCAATAAACATTTGGGACATATCTATATTCATGTTTTTTATTAGGAAAATGCCCTTTTAAACTATCTTTCATGTAAAGTGATGCTCCTGTTAAAAGATAAACAGCAAAATTTAGCCATCCATGGGTAGTATTGCATAAATATCTCATTATCTTTGAAGAAGAAACTATGTTTTTCCTTACACATTATTCCCAAGCTAAAGGAGGTTTCCAATGGGGGTAAAACATCCAAAAAATTACCTTCACGGAGTGTATTTATCTTTTCCCAATGAAGGATGGCGATCGCTTAGCTAGATGAGTAGTAACATGTCCAAACCATCCAACGGTTACAAATTTACGACATTATTCGAGTTGGTAACTTTAATAAAACTATGGGTTGCTGTAATGTCATTGCCTTTTTTTTTTGTCAAGAGAATTGGCGTGTTTGCTTAGATTTTTTTCTGTGCTAAGGGCCGTATTTTCTTCTCCTCTTAACTTACAATCACTCCGTGACTCTTGGCTTTCAATTGAATCGCAGCTTAATGCCATCTACTTAGTTCATTTTTAAGGCAAGGACAAATATTTATGACCGAGTGAGCCTAATATATTTTGAAAGAATGGTATAGTTATGCCTCTTATTCTACTTCATCTTGTGTGAGAAATGCGTGGCAGCCTCCCAGCCCCAACATTAGGTTGTTGTCTCTGGTTATAAATTGTGGGTTAGAAATCTACCAGATTCATTTTATGTTGATTTTAGTTGCTGTGGTTTCTGTAACATCTTGAATTTTTTAAAAATAAAAGTTATAATTAAGGATTAAATTTTGAGGAATAATAGAATTTAATGTGATCAATTTGATTTATTTTTGGAGATTTCAAATACATAAATGAATTTCATGTGTCAAGATGAGCCCAATGATTGTAATATTGTAAATGTTTCATGTCAAAAAAAATGAGAGATGATAATTAACATAGTAACCGAGAATGTGTAAGAAGTGTAAACTTTAGTGTGTCGTAGGACTCTTGTCAGGAGTAGAATATGTAGGAATCTACAAAAAGACACGTAGCAAGCACGACGAAGCAAAGTGTGTAGGGTGAAATAATGTTGTGACAAGTATCTAACATATATTGAGTGAAAAATGATGAAGGGCATGCAAGAGGACATCTCATCTACCATGTGTCACTTGATTAAACTTAAACCATGCAAGGGGACACTTAGATGTCACGTGTCAAAGCAACAAGACATTCTAAACATGCAAGAGGACACCTCCAACTTCAAAATGCCTATAAATTTAGCCAAGAAAGAAGAAAGAAAGAGGGCAAGGAAAGGAAAACAATGAGCCTTAATCAAACGGCGATTTCAATTAGGATTGCTACCAAATTTGAGGATATAGTTCTTGGTAGTTTTAAGTTTATATTTATTGGAGTCATTTGACGATTTGATGTATGGGGTGGTATACAATATGCTCTCTTAAATCTCTTTGCAAAGAGTATATCTTTGATTATCCTTTGATTTATATTTCATATTGTAATATTGTTATTTTGGAATTCCGATTGAATATTGTTGAATACATTAATCTTATTGATCGTGTTTTTGTGTAAAGTAAGACAGGGTCATGGTAGCCAATGGTCCAATGTATCGCCAACCAAGAGGGTCGTGGGATCGGGTTAAGATGGGATGGTTGGTGAGGTGTCATATCTACATTTTGATCTCGCATGGTGTGTAATATGCGAAATATAAGTTTATTGATTTGTATCTGTTGATTAAGATACTTGGTGATCTTGATTTATTCAATATTTGATATCACTGAGCATATTATTTTTTGTCTTATTTTATAATTACCTCCTTAATTAATTTTTCAGGAGGATAATAAAGCAGAGTTCGTGATTAGAAATTTTGAGGAACTAGAGATGATATAAATTTTGTATTATGTAAATTGGAAATGTACTTGTAATTTAATGTTTATTGACATAATTAGAGCTCTGACCTATGTATTTGGAGATATATTTTGTGGAATGGGTGATTTGATCTATCAATTAACGCATCCGAAAAATTGGGACGTTACATCTTCAAAGGAAAATCATTCATAATTGTCAGTTTCATATTTTCCTTCTTTTAGTGTTTGAAAGATGAGCATATTGGCCTTTGTATTATCTCTCTTGCATTGTATAACATTTCCCATGAGCCTAGGGGAAAAAATGGAAAAAAAAAAAAAAAAAAAGAGCATGCTGGCCCCCTTTGTTCAACAGACCACCATACTGTCCAGGGTTTTACGTTTGAACTCATACATGCTAACAAACAACCTTGCACCACAAATCTGGCACACTATTCTAGTAGAATGAAATAAGCAACATCCCTGTGTAGTTTGAAAACTATACTGAATTGATCAGAGATCCACATTATAGCCAAAGTAGTTGGAGAGGAAAGACATATGATTTGTTTCCCACATATCCCTATATAGAAACAAACATTTGAAAAGGACTTCAACATAAACTAGTAAGTGAGTATTATAATAGTTTGTTATCTGAAGATGAATGTAAATAATTAGGAATATTATAAGTTAGAGTCCAAAAGTATCTTCATATCTATCACTTAAACTCCTTTGTATATACATAGTCCATTATAAATACAACACAATTACCTAGTTATGGGTAAGGCATTTAAACAATATCAAACTCTTCTACCTTCATCATGGCATGAAAGCTATACAAAGTAAGATCGCTACCCTCTGTTCTTCTTTCATTTTTTTTTGGTCATGGCTTCTTCACAACCCACTGTTTTCCCAATCACGAACATAACCAACTTCATTTCAGTCAAGCTTAATGGCAATAACTATCTTCTTTGGCGTGACCAACTTGAGTTGATTCTCATAAGCACTGATTTACTTTGCTTTGTCGACATAACGAATCTGCCTCTGTCGTCCACTATGACTTCATCATCCGATCAATCTATATCCAACTCAGAATTCATTACTTGGAGCAAATCAAATCAGTTCGTCAAAGCTTGCATCAATGCTACGTTGACAAAATCTTTGTCCTGGCAAATACTTGGTCTTAAAACCACCAAAGAAGCATGGGATACACTTGGTGATTTATATCTACAACAATCTACTGCTCGCAAAGCATATCTGTTCAAAGTCAAAGACCTTCACAGCCTCTCAAAAGGCAACGACACAATATTAATGACTATCTTCATTGCATCAAAACATTGTCAGACTCTCTTGCGGCGATTAATCAACATGTGAACAACTCGGATTTCGTCCATCACACCTTAAATGATTTGGGTACTGAATATGGTTCGTTCATCACTACCATCGAACATCACCATTCACCCATTAATTTTTTAGAATTGCGTTCTAGGCTTTTTATCAATAAACAATGCTTGGCTT